AACTATAAGATAATTTGAGAAAATTAAGATTTTATTAATGATACTTTTTTGAAGATTACCTTTAAGTAGAAAGAGAAATGAAATGATATTGTAGTGTAATGATTAATTGTGTAGGGATATTTTTAAAAGTTTATAATTTTGTTTTGAAAAGTAATTAAGTTGGTAAAGTATTATTATTGTGTTTTAGTGGGTACACAAAATTTTTTCTTAAATTATCTTATAATTTGGGATAGAAAAAAATATTTATTAAAGAAAAACTTATATACTTATTTTTTATATATTTAAAATATTTGCTTTCAATTAAATCAAGACATATGGATCTTTTATATATTATAAATTTCATAATAAATAGTCACTATTAATATTATTAACATTATAAATGCACTTATCTTAATTTAATCAAATAAAAGTATACTAAATATATAAGATTAGTACCTAAGTCTTGATTTGTTAAAAAAAAAAACCTTAGTCTTGTCTTCTTTACAAAAATTTTGTTCAGCGTTCATGCCTAGCTTGTTAAAGGGGAAAAAAAATCACAGCGGGCCGGAGAAGAAAATGCAAACTGGTAAATATTACACACAACACTGTTATCAAAAAATAAAAATAAAAATACACACAAACACCAATGCTCGTATATTAGTTGTTAAATATGCTACGTTCATTTATTAATGTTCTTTAGTGAGATGATCGATGATTGGTTCGAGTGATTATTATCAACTTCTAGGAGCATAAATGCACCATTGCAAATCGCTTTTCAGTGTAGTTAAAAAATAAGTTAGTCAAAAAAATAGTTTAAAAAATAAAATAAAAATAAGGAAGATTTCGAATTGATAAAAATTGGAATTAATAACAGAAAAAAAATCCCAAATAGATCTGAATAGCCGCAGTGGTAAATAGTATAAAAACATCAAATTTAAGGTTTACTTTAATACATTAATGAAGGCCAAAATATTTAAATAAAAAATTCCTTCCTCATCATAAATATAGAAAGTAAATTTTTCCCGTAATATAGAAACTAGTATGAATTAGAAACTGTTTTTCTATAATACAGAAAGTAATTAGAATATTTAATTTTTCCCTTTAAATATTTATAAACACACAAAATCCATTGATTAAATTAAAATTTAAAAAATTGAATTAAAAAATAATATGAATATCCATAATTGATCTTAATCTAAAAATAAAAGGTATGAAACTTCTTACCATTAAAAAACAAAGTATAAAATTTATAAGGAAGGTATAAGCTAATCATTAATAATGATGTCTAATTTTTTGAAATGAGATTTTTTTTCCTGGTGGTAAATTTATGCATTGAATTAGCTAGCCAAAAAGAATTCTTTTCTTTTTAGTGCCAAAAAAAGCTAAAGAAAATTCTAAAATCAAGTATAATATGCATATGCTTGCGATAAGATATGGTTCCTGTAATTATTAATAATTATTAGAATCAATTCGCTTACAAAAAGATTCAAGAATTATAATATAGGAACTGGGAATTATATTTATATCTTTACAATTTCATTTCTTTAATAAATAATAATTAAATTTTAAATAATATATTAATATATAAACTAATTCCAAAATCATTTATTTATTACAATATTTCATTGAGGTCTCAAAATTAGATATCCGTAATAGTTTATGCCTTTTGATGATATTGTACCAATTTATCAATTCCCAAAATTAAATATCCATATTAATCCATACCTTTTTAAGGATAAGGATATCCATAATAGATATCCTTATTAATCCTTAAGAGTATTATTATTTTCGATGAAACTAAAATTTTTTTAACATTTATTTAAAAAAGAAAAGAAAAGAAAGTAACGTTATTACACAACACTGTCTCATTCACTCTCCTTATTTAAAAAGACCTTCAACTACGAACGAAGCTCTGATTCTCTCTCTTGCTTGAATGGTTTTGAAGCTTCGATAATTCGTCGTCCCATTTCGCAACTCGGAGTTCCGATTGAAGGTTCGTTTTCTTGCGACAAGTTTAGAATTTCCTTTTTCTATCTCGTTTTTTTGTTCAGAGGCTCAGTCTTTGTTTGTCGTAGATGGTGATTTTGATTTTGATATTTTTCTTTTTTGTAGTTTTGATCCTTCTCATTTTCCGAACTCCGATGCTGAAAGTAGAGCCTTGCATGTCCATATTTATTAGCTTTTTGTTATTTTTGTCAATTTTTATCGTTGGGATCTGATTGTCTAAAATGGTTGAAATTTACGCTTTTAGCCAAAGAACATGCATGCTTGAATTGATCGGTTGATTGGCTATTTTGTCCGAAGGTTTGGTTATGTTTCTTTTGTGACTAATGGCTTTTGCATTCAATGGTTAACTAATGTTTTGTCACTGAAGACTTGAGTTTCTTGTTCTTAACATTCTTTTGTGACATCGGAAATGTTCATTTTTCAAATATTTATATAAACGGCTTGCGGATTTATATTTTGGCATGTAATTTTGGGTAACCTGTCAAAGCTTCATTGTGATTGATAATTGTTTTATTCCATTCTGATTCAATGCTTATGTCATTCTCTAGCATTGCAGTAAGGGATACGAGCTTGTTTGTTTGTCTGTTTATTTATATGCTGTGAACAGAGTTCGTTTAAAATACTAACCTTAAAATTTAGCTCATTGAGTTTGTAGTTTAACCAAGAATTGTTTCAAAATTGCTAATTCTACAAAAATCCAAGTCTGCATGCTATTTTGACTTCTTATTATCCTAGTACAAGTGAAGAATTCGAATAATTTCATACTTGTTGCCGATCATTAATTGTGAAAGTATCATTTGTACGAGCAACAAGTGCGTGCACATATATCGTACATATATCAATAGAATAACATATAAAACATTTCTTGTATACATTATATCCCCTCATCCCTTACTTCTTGAGGGCAACATTATGGTTGGAATTGATTTCCATTATGATTCAGTGTTATTTCATTCCCTAGCATTCTAGTAAGGGATGAGTTTATTTATTTATTTACGCTGAGAATAGAGTTTGTTTAAAATGCTTATAACCTAAAAATTTAGCTCATTGAGTTTGTATTTTGATTAAGAATTGTTTCAAGATTGCTAATTATACAAAAATCCAAGCCTATATGCTATTTTGACTTCTTATCCTAGTACATGAGAAGAATTTGAATAATTTCATATTTATTACCGATCATTAATGTGAGTGAAAGTATCATTTACACGCGCAACGCATCGGTGCACATATATCAATAGAATAAATTAAAAATTATTACTTAGCTACATATATTCCCTCATATCCCTTACTTTGAGGGCCATTATGGTTGGGAATTCTTTTCCTTTGTGATTCAGTAGTAATGTCATTTTCTAGCATTCTAGTAAGAAAAATAAGTTTGTCTGTTTAGTTCTTTATACTGTGAATAGAGTTTGTTTAAAACGCTTATAACCTAAAACATTTAGCTCATTGAATTTGTGTTTTAATCAAGAATTTTTTCAAGATTGCTATAATTCTATAATTCTACAAAAATCCAAGTCTATATGCTATTTTTACTCCTTATCCCAATATACGTGAAGAATTCAAGTCATTTCATACTTATTACCCGTAATTAATGTGAGTGAAAATATCATTTATATGCACATGCATGCGTGCACATATCAATACTTAATAGAATAACTTGTAAATTATTATCAGTACACACATATATAACTCTCATCCCTTGCTTCTTGATCCATCATATATGTTTGGGAATTGTTTTCCTTATGATTCAGAAGTTATGTCATTCTCTAGTATTCTAGTACGGGATAAGACTTTGTTTATTTATTTATTTTTGCTGTGAATAGAGTCTGTTTAAAATGCTTAACCTAAAAATTTAGCCCATTGAGTTAGCATTTTAATCAAGAATCATTTCAAGATTGCTAATTCTACAAAACTCCAAGTATTATGTTATTTTGACTTCTTATCCTGGCATATATGAAGAATTTGAATCATTTTATGTTTATTACCAATCATTAATGTGAGTGAAAGTATCATTTACACGCACAACCCGTGCGTGCTTATATTGTATGCATATACCAACAAAATAAATTATAAATTATTATTCCTCGTGCAAACATATATCCTCTCATCCCTTACTTCAAGAAGGCCACAACATCGTTCACAATTGTTTTCCTTTATGATTAAGTAATTAGATTATATCATTCTCTAGCATTCTAGCTAGTATGGGATATGGATTTATTTATTTATATTGAAAATAGAGTTTGTTTAAAATGCTTATAACCTAGAATGTAGTTGATTGAATTTGTATTTCAATCAAGAATTGTTTCAAGATTTTTTATTCTAATGGAATCCAAGTCTATGGCTATTTTGACTTATTATCCTAGTATTTGTTATAAATTCAAATCAGTTCATACTTATTATCAATAATTAATATATGCGATAGTATCATTTACACACACGCAGGCGCACATGCACATACATATACCAATAGAATAAATTACCTACTATTACTAATATTACTTTGCATGTAATGATTTTTCTTAAAAGCAACCACAAATATATCACTTACATGAATACTCACAAATGTCCTTTGAATAATTCCCTTGCAATCTTGGGATTTGGTTTCTCTCCATTGAAATTTCTCACTGCCGCACCTCCACTCCAAAGCTCAACTGTTTAGATCAAGTTTTAACAATGCAAATCTATCTATACTTTCAAAAATTGCAAAATCTAAATCGTCAAATTCAATATTCTATGATAGTCTAGATTTGTAGTGTTCTCTCTCCACTAAACTCAAACCACCTTCGCAATCTAGAGAGGATGACTTCATGTTATTAATCATGAACATTTGGATCCATATCGTTGCACTTGAAATTATCATTTTTATGTTGTTTTCCTACTCCATTATCTTCTTCAAAGCAAGGCTTGGCTCTTTTTTTTTTTTTCTTTTTGGGTGACTCTTCTATTCATTGATGGCATATATTGATATTTTTTCATGTGACGTGGGATTTATTGTACATAAGATGAGTACTTATCTATTGGAGAGAACGCTCCAACAAGTCACCGACGAAGAGATCTGGATTTGGATCTGAATAGGGCTCCACTTGAGGTGAATATGGAGCAGGAGGGACCTCAAGTAGAAAATCGTCAAGTTGTTCAACAGTCACAGTTTTTTCAACCTATTGATGTGGATGCTATTATTGATGATGACGTTATTGAATCTACGCAAAGTGATTTTCTTGAGGTATTGCAAGTAACTTCCCTTTGATATATACTCTGTTGATTTGATATTGTCATTCTATATTTGATGATCTTGCGGGGATAACCTTATTTATGTGATTCTTATTCAATTTAGGCCAAAAATAATTCAAGAAGAAATCGTGGGAGGACTATAGTCGATGTGGATTTAGGTAACATATTATTTGACTATTCTTTGTTTAGAGTCTTCATGAACATTTTGTTTAATTAACATCTTGGACCAATTATATTTTCTACTCAGTATGTTTCTGGGTAAATCACTTGTTGATGAATCTAATACTTCAAGTTGCGATGTGTTTTAAAATATATTTCGATAAGTATGTGGTAAATTGGGCTTAATAACTCATATATAATAAATGAGAATGACTTATCAAATTGAACCTTGAGATTTTAGGTTAAAATATAGTGTTCTTCCATTATTCTTACTTACTTGTTCTCTCTTCCTCCATTTTGAGTAGTTGCTCCTCCTATTCCAAACATGATCAAGGTAAAAAATAAGATCTTTTATCATTCTTATACTGATTTTTTATGATGAGGGAAAATTGCTGTCTATGTTGCTAATTATGCTCTCAAAATGGGCCTCATTGTTAAATACAATGTTTGGGGAAATTGCTTAAGGTCATTGACAATCCATTTAAATACCACAAGGTCCATTTAGCAAAGGAGAATGACAACTATTGTGGTTATCTTCTTTCCTTTGCTAAGTTATCAATTGAACTTGTAACTTAAAATGTGTCATATGGGACATGTATATAATTTTTTCCCAAATGTTTTCTTACCGTCCTATTTTTTTTCATACTCTCGTCATTCATGATAATGGCAGACAATGTAAGTCGGGTAGCTGAAATTACTCCCAACAATACACAGAATCAATTTTTGGAACCAAACATTTCCAATTGTGACCCATATATTAAATTGGATGGCATTGTTAGTTCTGAGGTATTAAAATATTCTAAATATTTTTCATACTTCATTGTTATCTTATGATTGTTGTTTTCTTTATAATTGTTCTTATCGATATGTGGCCATGGGTTTCCAATAATATAATGTTAGCGTGCTTGTTAACTTGTATTGGCCTTATTATTGATGTGATGGTTAATTGTTTATTCTTATCGTGCAAGATTTTGGAAGTTATGTGATAAATAATTAAACATGTTGTATTAACTTGAAAGAAGAAATGATTATAATAAAGAAAACAAATTATTAACCCAAACAATAGTTTTACACAACCCCTCACACATCACTCTTTAGCCTCAATCCGCACATCTCTGGCAGCACTTATAACTCTACTTTCTGCCTCACACTCTCAAGCCTCACATCTCTTGTATCATTCCTTACTTTTACTATATCTTTCACGCAAGGGCTTAACCCTCACATCATTTGTCACTATACTATCTTGCACAAGCACGCACACGCATACTCTATGCTTTGGATTGAGATTCAGACTTCTTCCAAAGTCCTATATTGATACCCCTTCTATGGTTGGGTTTTAGATCCCCTTTCATTTCACTACTCCACTATCACAGCACAAGCAAAAAAGAGCTTGTCCCAAAAAAAAATAGTCTATTAATTGGAAGAACTCCTCACACTTATAAACTTCATTCAACTTGTAAAGCTCCCTCATCTAGGACTCATTACAGTGCCACCCTTTGAGAGCTAAGCCGATATCCCTAATGGTTTCACTTGATGGCACTTCATTAGCCTCTTGCTAGTTAGAACCCTCCATATGTAATCTTTTCAGTGACACTAGCCTGTCATGAAAGCACTAATGTCATAAACACAAATTCAAAAAGAGAACCCATCTTAAAAGACTAATATATTGGGTAGAGAAACCATCATTGTCTTAAGTCCCCATCAAAGAAGCATCACAAGTGAAGTGGGGTTTTTCCTTTGTGTCTAAGCCTTGTCGATTTTTCTTAACACAAAGTGGTAATTCATATATTTGTCTTACTTCTATTTAAGTAAAATCCTTTGAACTCCAATTTCTTTAAGATAACTCAAGTTTACTTATTGTTGCTAACATGAACAAATAGAAGTGGTATTGACTAAGACAGTACTGAGCAAAAAAAGTTTTGTTCACTATATATAGACTGATGATCTTGAGGTGCTTATGGAATTGAAGTCTGCTAATTTGATTATTGTTACTTTAACTTTTCTTGCAGCTGGGGAAAGAGATCAGAAATTCACCTGAACCAACAAAGAAGTGGCCTGTCTTTACTGTCCAATATGTATGGAACCATTTGTTGAAGAAGTGTCAACAAGGTGTGGTCACATATTTGCAAGAGATGCATCAAGGCTGCTTTAAAAGCAAAACGTGAATGCCCTACTTGTAGGGTCAAGGTTACTTCGAAAGGGCTTATAAGGGTGTTTCTACCATCACCTGGTTCTCCATAAAATGATTAGATCTTGGGTTTTTTTTTTTGGCCAAAGATCTTGGGTTTATTAAATTCACCAAAACCCCAACTTTTGATAATGGCATTATGAACCCCCGCAACTTTTCGTTTGGTTAGAAATCATTTAGTATTTGGTACTCCCGACTAATTATGATGAGTCAAATTATTGGGCTCTTGCTGTTTTTGCTTGATCATGTTT